TTCCCTTTAGCAAGTCCGCTAGTAAATGCTTTAAATTGTTTGCTATGGACAGCTGCTTTAGCACCACTAGCAACTTGACTTTTAGCTTGTTTAAACTCTTCACTTTTAACTGCTTTCGTAGCTCCAGAATATGCAGTTTTTCCAGCTTTAGAAGCCTCTTCTTTAGCATGTTGTTTTTGTTCCTCAGTCATAGGTGGCATTTTATTATATACATCTTTAACGTCTCCAGCAATGTTTTTAGCTAATTCTTTATTTTCTTTTGATTTATTTGGTTTAATCTCTTTATTTCTTTGAGATGTATCATCTAATGAATGTTCTGGAATTGGTGGTGCTTCATGTTTATGTTCTGGAATTGGTGGTGCTTCATGTCTATGTTCTGGAATTGATGGAACATGTTTTTCTTCACTAATTGTTGAGTGACCAGGTATAGGTGGTGCAACTTTCTTCTGAGGTACTGGTGGTGCACATTTTGTAGGAAGAGGTGGTGCACATTTTGAGGGTGTAGGAGGTGCTGGTTTTTTTTGAGGAATAGGAGGTACAGGTTTTGACTGTTCTCCTGGAATAGTAAATGTTCTTTTCTGAAAGGTCATTATTAAATTGTAAGATCTAGATTGAGTCAAAAGGATTTACTTCAATAAGAGCGTCTTTCTACTTTGATTTTTGTTTTTATATTTTATAAGAATCTATTCAAATAATAAGGATTTGGAGTAGAAAAATATTCTTTAAACTGTTTTTAGTAAAATATTATTTTATGATAACCTCCAAAATGTATAACACCTCTCTTTTTATTAATAAAATTAACAAAAAACATGGTTATGAAAACAGTCTATCAGCACCAACTTGTACATCGCATATATGTTAAACCTTCTGATTCTAAAAGATAAAACCAAACAACAAAGATGTGTTATAAAAAAAACTTAATTAACTAGAAAACCTAAAGATCTTAACCCTATAAATCTTTTCTAGTTAAATTATGTTCAAACACATAAAACACCAAACACTAAGAAATAAAATTTAATAGAAAAATAATTAAATTAAAAACTATTTTGAAACCCCAGTAAATAATAAAGACACTATAAAAACAAGTAACCCTTCTATAATCAGTACAATGGGATTCCTTAAGGTTATCAAGAATAGAGCTTACTTCAAGAAATACCAAACTCAATTCAGAAGAAGAAGAGAAGGAAAGACTGATTACTATGCTAGAAGAAAGATGATCTTCCAAGACAAAGACAAGTTCAAGACTCCAAAATACAGAGTTGTTGTTAGAATTACTAACAAGACTGTTATTGCCCAAATTGCTTACTCAGAAATTATTGGTGATAAAATCCTTTGTGCTGCTTATTCACATGAATTACCAAGATATGGAGTTAAATTAGGTTTAACCAACTATGCTGCTGCTTACTGCACTGGACTTCTTCTTGCTAGAAGACTTCTTCAAAAACTTGGTATGGATAAACAATTTGTTGGAGTTTCTGATGCTGCTAAACTCGGTGAAGATTATACCCCAGAAGAAGTTGAAGAAAGAAGACCATTCAAATGTATTCTTGATGTTGGACTTGCTAGAACTACTACTGGTTCTAAAGTCTTTGCTGTTCTTAAGGGAATGTGTGATGGTGGAGTTTACGTCCCACACTCTGCTACCAGATTTGCTGGAGCTGGAGAAAATGAAGAAGCCCTTAGAAGCAGAATCCTTGGTGGACATGTTGCTGCTTACATGAAATATCTTTCTGGTGAAGATGCTGACCTTTATAAGAAACAATTCGGTAGATTCATTGCTGCTGGTATTGCTCCAGAAGCTCTTGAAAACATTTATATCGAAGCTCATAAGAAGATTAGAGAAAATCCAGCTGCTGAAAAGAAAGAAAAGAAGGAACACAAGAAATACCCAACCTCTAAGAAACTTACTCTTGAACAAAGAAAGGCTGCTATCCAAGCCAAACTCGCTAAACTTGCTCAACAAGCTTAAGTGGACCCTTATTGTGTTATTTCTTTGATTTTTATTAGTTGTTATTTATAACATTTTAATAAAGAAATAATTAAAATAAAAAGAATAAATTAAAAGAAATAATAATTTTCACTTTTTATTAACTTTTGAAGATTTACTATTTATTAGATAAATATTAAAATTTTGTAGAATATAAAAAATGAGGTTATAAGAAGATGAATAATTAATAATAAAGAATAAGAATTTTTGATTGAAAAACAAAACACAATATAATAAAAAGGGCAGAACTTAAAAAATAATAAAAGAAGAAACTAAATAGAGTAATGAAAATTTTAATATTCTGTAAAGTTATATTCTTGTCAATACTTTGTTTTATTATATATATCCCAACTTATTTTGTTTATGGACAAAGTGAACCTAAATTTCAATTATTACATACTTCAATAGCTTTCGTAGTATCTTTTATTATTTGTTGCATTGTCGCATATAAGTTTTGTGATAAAACAGAAAGTTCAGTTAAAGTTGGTGAAAAATCGTTAGAATCATCTAAATCATGTTATATCCAAGGATTGCCAAAAGTGACTCCAATCCCAAAAGCATCAATTGCTCCAGGAAGTCATATAGTTTATGACCTTCAAAAAAAGGAACAAGACTTATTATTAAAAATACGAGAAAAAGAAAATGCACTTAAATTTGAAAGTGATCCACAAGTTCAAGCAGATTTGAGAGTGGAAATTCAAAGATTAGAATCCGAATTAGATGGTATTAGACAAGCTATGAAAATGAAAAATGATCAAGCAAGAAAAAGAGTTTCAACTGCTTGATTATAAATGAAAAGGTTAATTTGAAATACTTTTTTTAATTAATTATTTAAGTAATAAAAAGAAAGAATTAAAACATATATTTTTTTCTTTATACTAATATATTAATTTCTTACAAACCAATCAACTTAAAATACCAAAATATATTTTCAATCATTTATTATTGTGGGAAATCAAAATCAATATGAAGTTCTTCTAATTTCTTTCTTAATTCTTCATTTGAAGCTTTTCTTTCATCAACATCTTTTTGAGTAATAACTTTTATCTTTGGTTCTGTTTTTCTTTGACCTTTTGGAACTGGATAGGTTGAATGAAATCTACGTTTTTTTGCTTCACATAACTCTGTTTGAAGTAATTGATTTTCTAAAATATGATTATTTAATGTTTCTGCTACAATACGTGCTACTACACAATCAGCAAATTTAACAACACAGGTTCCTTTACTTATTCCAAAATCAGTTTTCTTAATGGCCAATCCTTTTAATTCTCCATATTGAGAGAAATATCTTCGTAAATCATATTCGTCAAGAATTTTTGGAAGATTTCTAATACGAACAATTGGTTTATTTGCCTCTACATCTTTTGGTGTTATTTCAGCAAAATCTGATGATTCAAATTGCATTAATTGTAAATGTATTTTTTAGTAAATTAGGGTTTAATTAATTTTTTAATAGTTCAAATATTATTATAATATTATCAAAACCAAAACTATGAACTTCAATAAGAAAGAATTTAATTTTCAAGCAAAAAAAATTGTTAATTGTCTTAATAAATTAGGAAAATATCAATGGAAATGGGATACAAGAGGATTTATTATTCATGACTGTGAATTAGGTGAATTACTTCAGTTTAATAATAATCATCTTAATGAAGAAATTTATGAAGAAAAAGATGATACTATTTGTCAAGTACAACAAAAAAGATATTATTTTATTCATCATATTCTTTATAATACATCTTATCAAGTACCTCAATTTGGAGTATCATTATTTGATAACAAAGAGAATAAATATATTACTCAATTAGAACAAGCAACAACTTTATTATCACAACTTAGTGGAATTGAAAAATATAATAGTAATGATCCATTAAATCTTTTTATTACAATGAATGAACATCCATTAATAGAAGACTATTATATGTTTTTTATTCATCCTTGTGGTACTTCATCTTCATTACTTCCTATTATTGAATCTTCATTATCTGATTATCTAATTTGTTATTTAAGTTCTTATGGTCCATATTTATGTTGTTTTGAAAATTGGTTATCAGTACAACATAAATTAATTACTGAAAATCAAAATTAATTACATAACTGAATAGGAAGACATCCACAAATTTCATGTATTCTATAAACAGCTTTCCATTGATTTTGATGTCCACTTCTTTGAATTATTTTAATTAATTCTTTGATCATTCTTTCTTTTTCAAATAAGTTCATTTCTGTTTTTTTACTACCACTTAATTTAATTCCTTGATATCGAAGAATAATATTAATAAGAACTTTAACGTCATAACTTTTAGTTACATTTTGATAGTTTGTATTTAATAATTTAATTTGTTGAGATGGTTGAAATAAATTATTTTTAGAAAGAGTCGTAAGAGAATTTTCATTTAAAAGAACGTCTTCTTTTTGTTGTTGATAATTAATAATCCTTGGAAATAAATTAATTTTTTTTATTTCAAATAACTTTAAATATTTTGTGTTTTTAATTAATTCTTTATGTTTCATTATTTCATTATAACAAATAATATTCATAATTTGTTGTGTTAATTCATTTCTATTAATTTTTTTTGAATATTCATCATTTAAATATTTTAAATAACTTAATGCATCTTTTAAATCTCTTTTCATTTCTTCTTTGCATTCTTCAATAATTTCTTTTACAATAAGAAATTTTAATAATATTAAAAAATTAAATTTTGTTTGTATTTGATTTAATTTAAAAATACATTTTCTTTTATCATGGTCATAGTAATCATTAATACTATCAATAATAATATTAATTTCATTTTCTTTCATTTCTTTTTCATGAAAAATAAATATTTCAATAATATTATTTATTGGTATTATTTTTAATAAAATTGTTAATAAAATTATCATTTCTTCTTTAAAAAATTCTTTTTTAATTTCTTTTTCTATTTCTTTCAATATTTCTAAACTTTCTTTTGTTTGTTCTTTACTTATTTGATATTTAATTCCATATAAACAGTGTTGAATGACTATTTTATCTTTTATTGGAACTGGAATAATTTTATTAATAACTTTTCCTATTCTTTCCATTTGTTCTTGAATAAATTCTTTTCTATTATCATTAAATTGATTAATTAATATACAAATATCATAACTTAATATATTTTGACTTAATGCATCAATAAGTATAATTCTATCTTCTGTTGAATAACTATTTTCTTCACTTATTTCTTCAATTAATTGACTTTCAATTTCAATGTATTCACTTATTTCATACAATTCTTTTGTACTCATTTCAATTACACTTTTACCAATACAAATATTATTTAATGCATTTGATATTTTTTGATACTTTCTTTCCATCATTTCAAATTCTTCTTTTGTAACAATTGAATTAAGATAAAAAGTTCCTCGTTCTGAAATAATTTTTTGAACTGTTTCATTTCTAGTTTTTTGAGTTTCTTTTGTTACAATCATTAATTCGTTATTATCAATTTTTCCAAAATGAGTATTTAATGAATCTTTCATACATATAATAGTATTATTTACTTCTTTTATTTCTTCATTAAATTTAATTATTCTTTTCATCATTTCTTCTTTTGTTTCATTTTCTTTTGATATATTTTTAATATAATCCTTTAAAATTTTGTTTTTATTATTTCGTTTTAATTTTCTTAACCTATCTTTCATTATTTCTACATTATTTATTTCATTATCTTTACTATTTATCCATAATTCAACTATACTTTCAATTATTTCATCATTACTATTTTTTAATAATAAATGCCATCCATACTTATTAATTTTTAAAATGATGTTTCTATTTTTTTGAAAAAATTGTATAAGTTTTCTTTCTATATATTTTTCACAAATCGTATAATATTCATAATAATCTCCTTCTTTACATTCTAAATTCTTATTAATTATATTAACTAATTCTTCATCTAATTGATGATTAATACAATAATTAATTCTACAATATGTTTTGATTCTTTCATTATTTGAATTAAAAATACAATTCATTGTATGATATTCTTCAATTTCTTTTTTTTTCATTTTATCACAAACACAAGACTCAATGTATTCCATTTCAATATTTGTTTCATAACATAAATACATTGGATTTTCTATTATTTCTTCTATTTTTTCTATTTTTTCTTTTTCAATTTCTTCTTCATTAATATACATAAAGAATATCTTGTACATCTTTTTTACTTCATCATAATAATTCTTTTGAATTATTTTCTGAATAATTTGGTCTTTACTTGATTCCATTTGTTTTTTTTTTAGTTCATTAGTTTTGTTTATTAAATAAATTTTGTTATATATTACGAAGTTTGAGAGATGATCTTTTAATCTCAAAAATTGAATAATTAAAACAATTTAATGACACATCAATTTACTTTTATTAAAGATAGTATTTATCATTCTACTGGAGTTTTTGAATATAATGATGAATATTGGGTTGCTCATTTAAAAGGAGAGGATCTTAAAGTTTCATGGAAGAATATTACTGCACTATCATTAGAGTATCGTGTTTATAAGGATGGGAAATTCTTTATTGAATTAGAAGAAAGACAATTAGTAAAATCTCACAATTTACGATGTATCTACTTTTATTTTGAAAGAAAAGATTTCTATGAACTAGAAAATTTTATTTATGAACATAAGTTGAGTAAATTACCCCATCCAAATCATTACCAGATGGAATACCCATTTGTAAAAATTTATTCAAAACATATGAGACAAGTACTAAACTTTTTAACAGCAGTAATGAATACATTAATGTTTTTAGTATTATTTGCTAAGTTATACAATTTTATTGATAAAAAGACTGGTGGATTAACTCGTTTACAAAATGAACTTTTATTATTAATGGATTGGTTCTCAGAAAGAATTCCGACTACTTCATTTCTTGTGAGTCTTCCATTTTTACCTTGGAAATATATCTTTTATTTTCTTCGTTATTTAGTTAATTCATTAGATGAAATTTCACTTATTATCTTCTATACTACTACAATGTTAATTTATGTCTTTAGTTATTGGAGAGGAATTGTTTCAACATTGAAATTATTCTTAAACTTAATCCTTTTATTGAAACGTTTATGTAATAAAATTAAAGAGATTATTATTGCTAAAAAACAACAAAATGAAATTAAACAAGAATAATTTAATAGTTATTCTTATAAAATATATCTTATTGTTTTTTTATCTAAACAGCATTTATTTATATTCTTTACTTTTCACTAAAGTATGATCATCATCACTATTTTATTCTCAGTATTTAATACTATTTTAATGTATTGGCATTAAAACTATTATTGGTTATTTTGTTAATAAATAATAAATTCATAACGCAAATAAATATTAATAATTAATACTGAATATATTATCTAGATTTATATTCATTAAAA